TATTGATTTTGGCCCCAAGTTTGATTATTTCTTGCCATTTACTCCTTTGGAGTATTTCTTCTTAATGTTCTAAAGCTTTCTGTTAAGTTTCTAGAAAGTCTTTGATTTCTTTCTTCACTCATTTTTTATTCAGTAGTGAGTTGTTTGTTCCCATGAGTTCACAAACTTTTTGTTGTTTCTGTTGTTGTTGGTATCCAGCCTTAATCTGTGATGGTCAGATAGGATGCAGGGAGTTATTTCAATTTCCTGTATCTGTTGTGTCTTCCTTTGTGTCCAGGTCAATTTTGGAGAAAGTTCCTTGAGCTACTGAGAAGAAGGTATCTTCCGTTGTGTTTGGGTGAAATGTGTAAATATCGGCTAGGTCCATTTGGTTTATGATGTGAGCTGGCGCCAGCACTTCTCTGTTTAGTTTTTGTTGGGATGACCTGTCTATTGGTGAGAGCACTGTACTGAAATCACCTGTTATCACTGTGTGAGGGGTAATACGTGATTTAAGCTGAAGAGTGTTCCTTTCACGGACTTGGGTGCCCTTGTGTTTGGTGTATATGTTAAGAACTGCAATATCTATATGAGTGAGTATATACCGTGTGCATCTTTCTGCTTCTGGGATAGCTCACTCAGGATGATCCTTTCCAGATCCCACCATTTACCTGCAGATTTCATGATTTCCTTGTTTTTTATTGCATATAGACATATAATATAGGATAAACCTACTAAAATCTGTACACCTAAAGAAACTAATTAAGAGGGAGGACTCTTGCTAAAATGCTCAATTCCTATCCAGAAAGGCAAAGATAATGGACATCAGAAGAAGGAGAAAAGAGGGAACAAATCAGGAGCCTGACACAGAGGACCTCTGAAAAGCTCTGCCCTGCAGACTATCAATGTAGATGCTGAGATTTATGGGCAACCTTTGGGCAGAGTACAGGGAATCTTAGGAAAAAGTGGGAAACAGTAAGATCTGGAGAGGACAGGAACTCCACAAGGAGAGCAACAGAACCAAAAAATCTGAGTACAGGGATCTTTCCTGAGACTGATACTCCAACCAAGGACCATGCATGGAGATAACCTAAGACCCCTGCACAGATGTAGCCCATGGCAGTTCAGTATCCAAGTGGGTTCCATTGTAATAGGAACAGGGACAGTCTCTGACATGAACTGATTGGCCTGCTCTTTAATTACCTCCCCCCTGAGGGGGAAGCAGCATTACCAGGCCACAGAAGAAGACAATGCAGCCAGCCACTCCTGATGAGACCTAATTGACTAGGATCAGAAGGAAGGAAAAGAAGACCTCCCGTACCAGTGGACTTGAGGAGGGGCTGGCATGCAGAGGGTGGAGGACGGGAGGGATTGGGATGGGAGGAGGGAGGGAACCATGGGGGGGGGAATACAAAGTGAATAAAGTGTAATTAATAAAGATAAAAAAAAGAACTGCAATATTATTTTGGTGGATTTTTCTCTGTGATGAGTATGTGGACCTTCTCTATCTCTCTGATTAGTTTTTGGACCTTCTCTATCTCTCTGATTAGTTTTTGGTTGCAAGTCTAGTTTGTCAGATACTAAAACGGCCATACAAGCTTGCTTTTTAGTTCCCTTTGGAGTATCTTTTTCCAATCCTTTAACCCTGAAGTGACTGATATCTATCCTTGATGTTAAAGTGTGTTTCTTTGATGCAGCAGAAGGATGGATACTGTTAGTTTGTATTTTTTATTGGGGAGCTGAGAATTGTCAATGACCAGTGTTTATTGATTTCCATTGCTTTGTTGTTGTGGTGTAGGTTTTTTTTCCTTGTGTTTTCTTGGGTGTGATTAGCCTCTTTACGTTGGACTTTTCTTTCTAGCTCTTTCGGTAGGGCTGGATTTGTAGAAGATACTGCTTAAATTTGGTTTCTGTCATGGCACATTTTCTTTTTCTATCTATTGTGATTTAATGCTTTGCTAGGTATAATAGTCTAGGCTGGCATCTGTGGTCTCTTAGAGCTTTTTAAACATCTGTCCAGGTCTTTCAGGCTTTCAGAGTCTCCACTGAGAAGTCAGAGATTATTCTGTTTTTAATTTTAATTTTATTAATTACAGTTTATTCACTTTGTATCCACCTGTACTCCCCTCCTAATTCCACCCTCTCTCCCTCTTCTCCACCCATGCCCCTCCCCCAGTCCACTGATAGGGGAGGACCTCCTCCCCTTTTATCTGATCCTAGCCTAGCCTATCAGGTCTCATCAGGACTGGCTGCATTGTCTTCCTCTTTGGCCTGGTAAGGCTGCACCCCCTTCAGGGGGAGGTGATCAAAGAACAGGCCAATCAGTTTATGTCAGAGACAGTCCCTGTTCCCATTACTAGGGAACCCACTTGGACACTGAGCTGCCATGGGCTACATCTGGGCAGGGGTTCTGGGTTATCAGAGATTATTCTAATGGGTCTGCCTTTATATGTTTTGTGGTCTTTTTTCCCTTGCAGCTTTTAATATTTTTGTTGTACATTTAATGCTTTAATTTTTAAGTACCAAGGAAATTTTTTTTCTGGTCTAGTCTATTTGGTGTTCTGTATTTGTCTTGTACTTTGATAGGTATCCCCTTCTTTGGGTTAGGAATTTTTTTCTACAGTTTTGTTGAAAATATTTTCTGTGTCTTTGATTTATATTTTTCTCCTTTCTCTATTTCTTTAGTTTAGTTTAGTTTAGTTTTTGTTTTTCAAACCTTGTCTGTCCTGAACTCGATTTGTAGACCAGATTGGCCTTGAACTCACAGAGATCTGCCTGTCTCTCTCTCCCTGAGTGTTGGGATTATAGGTGTGCACCACTGTGCCCAACTCCTTCCTCTATTACTAATATTTGTAGCTTTGGTTTTTTCATAGTGTCTCAGAGTTCCTGGATGTTTTGTGCCTGATTTTTTTTTTTTTTTAAGATTTAACTTTTTGTTTTGTTTTATTTTTAGATTTAACATTTTTAAAGTTTAGTTTTGGTTTGTTTGTTTGTTTTTGATTTAACATTTTCTTTTTACCAAGGTACCCATTTCTTTTATCCTGTCTTTAATGCCTGATACTATCTCTTCCATCTTTTGTATTGTGCTGGTGAGGATTGCCTCTGAGTTTCTTGTTTGAGTTCCTAAAGTTTTCATTTCCAGTTTTTCCCTCAGTTTGCATTTTTTTTTTCTGATTCTGTTTGCACTTGCAGGTCTTGAACTATTTTCTGAATTTCACTTCACTGTGTTTTCATAGATTTCTTTAAAGGATTTGTTCTTTTTTTTTTTTTTTCCTGTGAGGAACTCTAGCATATTCCTAAAGGTTATTTTGGAGTCCTCGTCTTGTGCTTTAGCTCTGCTGTGTTCTCAGGCCTCCTGTGGTAGGTAGGGTTGTCGGGCTGAGGTGGAGCCGCATTGGCCTGGTGGTTACTGATTGTGTTGTTACACTGGTACGTAGGATCTGGATCTGAGATGATGGTGGTTCTAGGTGCTAATGCCTGGTTTGTTATTGTTGGGGGAGGGGGTTCAGTCTTTGGTTTCTAACTTTAGAATTATCTTCAAAGTAGTCTTTCCCCATCCAATTTCTAGAGCTTAAATCTTTTAGTATTTATTTCTGTTTCACTGTCGGCTACCTTCTCTGTTCCCGAGGTCTGTTCACTGTTGCTACTCCCAGGAAGCTGCCGCTGAGTCTTCAGAGTATGTCTTTTGGGGGGAAAGGACACTGACACTAGTCAAGAAAGACCTGAGTGCTCTCACTGGTACTTCCTGACACACATAGGTACTCAAAAAAGCTTTGTGACTGATTGGATACATAAAGGCCTTACCTTTCGAAGGACTTCAAGTCTGCAGTCTCACACCTATAAGGGTCTGCCTGCTGCAGACATGTTTGCTGCAGGAATGTCACCAGAGCTTAATTCCTGTGGACCACTGATAAGAGAAAAGCCACCATCAGTCATTAACAGGTGTTTGGACAAAGGATCCAGTAACAGGGAGAGAGAGGAAGGAGGAAGAGACCTAGAAACCAGGCCAATTGGGGCTGAGCCAAAGGCCTGGCTGGCAATGAGCAGGGTTCTGAGGTGGCGATTGCAGAGGAGCTGTGAGAGGCTGCTCATTAAATATTGGAGATATAGGCCATTTGTCTCCTTCCAGCTTCAGTGGCTCCTGTGTTCTGTGAATAAAGCCTTAAGTCGGACTCACTTTTCACCCTCTCCACATTTGTTCACCTCAGCCAGGCTCCTAGCTAGTGTGGCTTGCGCCCCCTTCCCCACACACTGGCCACTGCAGCGCCTCAGTCCCCAAGCTGCCAGTCCTGCAGTCTGAAATCTCCCCTCTCCTTCCTGCCTCCTCACAGATCAACAAAACCTCACTTTTGCTTTCAGACTGCTTTCAGACCTGGGGAGTGCTGCCTTTCTGTGGAGCATTTCTTGCCACCGGAAGGACTTTCCTCATCCACTCCGCACTTAGTCACAGTATAGCGCACTTTAACTACTCACGGAAGCGCCTACGCATGTTCAGAGAGGAAAAATTTGAATTGAGCTTGAATATCTTGTCTTTTGAGTAATACTAAGTGTTAACACTTTGCATTCTTGTGACATTTTAATTTTTCCTTAATAGTTTTATTGAGATATAATTCACATTCCCTTTAGTACTTTCTAAAGGCATGATATTTTGTTATACTTTGGAGTGCATGTAAGAAAGACACAAAAACCGCTCCGTTTCCCCGGGCCTAACATGCAAACAAACACAAAGTGGACAGGGGGGTGGTGATTTGCAGAGCTAGCTCTGGAGCCTCAGTTTCCCTGTCTGTATAAGTGAGCATTCTTGAGCTATTTAATGTGAGAATGCTGAGGCAGGGAATGGGGTGTCGGGGGTGTGTGTGTGGGAGGGGGGTGTTGTGTGGAGCAGATAGGAAAGAGAAGTGCTTCAGGAAGTGGAATGGATACAGGAAAGAGCCCGTGTGTGGTGGTGGGGGGTTATGTTCTTTCATTGGCAAAATCGCTCTTATAATTTCCGGTTACGATATTGACTCTCTTTCCCTCAGGCCATGTTTTCCACTAATCGTGGGACTGTCGGAGGCTTCTTCCTGGCAGGTCGAAGTATGGTGTGGTGGCCGGTAAGTCTTCTCTGAAAAAACAAAACAAAACAAAACAAAACAAAACAAAACTTCTTTTGATCTTTCTTTTTTATAATTAAGTTTTGAGATAATAATGTGCTCACATCAATTCCCTCCTTTCCCTTTTTACCTCCAAACACTCCTTCCTTGATCAATTTCAAATGTATGGCCTCTGGTTTCATTCATTGTTGGTCCAAGCATAAATGTATACACATATACATTCCTAAACATAATCTGCTGGGTCTGTATAATGCTACTTATATGCATGTTTTCAGGGGTGACTGTTTGGTATTGGTTAGCCAATCAGTATGTTCCACCCCAGGGAAAACTATCTGCTCTTAGCATCCCTTGGTTGTTCATAGCTCTTTATGTAGGGTTGGGGCCTTGTGGTTTTCCACACCCACATTGGCACATCTATTATTGCTGTCGTAGTTCAGCTCATGTTTAGGCAATCATGTTGGTGAGACTTTATGAATATAGCTTCCGACATGCCAGGAGACAAAGCCACAAAGCAAATTCTCTGGTCCTCTGCCTCTCACAGTCTTCTCACCTGCCTCTTCTACAATGTTCCCCAAGTCTTACAGGAGTTGTTCTGTAGATATATCCCTTGAGGCTGGGCTCCACAACTCTGTATTTTGATTGGTTGTGGTTCTAAGTAACAGTCCCCATTTATTGTAAAGAGGAATTTTCTTTTTTCTTTTAAAGGAATGTTCATTTTATTTTATTTTATTTATTTTTTTGAGACATGGTTTCTCTGTGTAGCCCTGGCTGTCTGAATTTACTCTGTAGACCAGGCTGGCCTAGAACTCAGAGATCCACCTGCCTCTACCTCCTGTGTGCTGGGATTAAAGGCATGTGTCACCACCACCTGGCAGATCTCAGTTTGTGAGGACGGAGCCCAGAGGAAGCATTCCCTTGGAGGGTTTGTGTGTTAGAATAGGTCTGGGATTGTCTGGCTTTGGGCTGAGGGTTGTCTGATGAGAGGCATGAGCCCCACCCAAAGCAGGGAGGGGTCAGTGGTTTTGTGAGCTTTCCCAGAGGTATTATTTCCTTGTGCACGCCATGGGATTGGGTTGCTCTAACAGAGAAGCATGCATTGTTCTCTTTACCAGAAGTCATTACTTCCTTGGTGAGGCCGTCATTTGAAGACTCTTTCTCTAACCATGGTTCCATCTAAGGCTTCATAAGATTATAAAAAAAAAATTGTTCCAGGTGGCTGGACTTCATAAACACAAGAAGTGATTCAACAGTGAAGAGCATTTGCCTTGGGTCCAGTTCCCAGCACCTGCAAGGTAGCTCACAACTGCCTGTGACTTCAGGTTCAGGGTGCATGATGGCCGTGCCCACATGTGATGCACTTACATGCATACAAAATGAAAACTGGCTCCGGAAGCTGTCTATGTATCAGAATCACCTGTGAAAACACAGATGGAACAGCCAACGCTGTGCCTCACTGGCACTTAGTAAATGGAACTGTTCTGGCCACTTCCTGTAACAACCCTGTCCCAAAACCTTCAACCTACAAGGGGTGAATTGTGAGAGTGGTCAACCATGTTGTGAGAGGGGGCCCATCCCTGACACTGCCTGGAGGGTCAGGAACCAGAGGCTGGGCAGTCCAGAGACCTGGGGTAGAACTAAACACTTCAATATAGAGAGGAAGGATTGTAGGAGACAGAGGATCAAGAAAACCCAGAGTCGACAAACCTGCGCCCATCGGGACTCACAGAGACTGAAGTGCCAACCAGGGAGCCTGCATAGGACTGACCTAGGCCCTCTGCAAGTATGTTACAGTTATGTAGCTTGATCTTCCTAACAGTGGGAGCAGGGGCTGTCCCTGACCCTGTCGCCTGCCTCTGGGACCCAGTCCTTATACTGGGCTGCCTTGTCTAGCCCTTAGAGGAGAGGATACATCTAGTCTTACTGCAACTTGCTATGCCGTGGCTGGTTGATATCCGTGGGAGGCCCCTGCCCTTTTCTGAAGAGAACTGGAGGAGAAGAGGGTGCAGAGGGGAGGTCAGGGGAGGGACTGGAAGGAGAGGAGGGATGGAAGACTCCTGTCAGAATGCAAGAAACAAAAACAAAAAGACAGAGAAGGAAGGTAAGAGTGCCCCCGGTAAATCCCTCGATCACCATTACACTCGGTAGTTTACAGAGAATGTCAGAAACTGTTGCCAAGATTTCCTTGTTCACTTTCGTGTAGATCACGTGCATAAAACATGGTTTATACCCACGTCATTTATACTACTACAAATAATCAGTTCCAGTTCCATAGGAGCCATAATCTAAAATGGATTGATGATGAGTTACAGTAGCAAAAAGAAATAAACACAGAAATCACCTTTGATGGCTTCACTTTGGTTGTGTCTCGTAGTTAAGGATGCAGGGAGCTTTCCTTTCTTCATGTCATTCAGTATGTCTTTTTGGATTTTTATTTTTAATTACATGTATGTGTGTAAGTCTGCATGTGTGTGTATACACATGTGTTTGGGTGCCCAAAGAGGTCAGAGGCGCAGGTTCCCCGAAGCTGGTGTTACAGGCAGTTGTGAGCTGCCTAACGTGGGTTCTGGAAACTGAACTCGGGTTGACTAGGAGAACAGTATTCACTCATCTTAACTCCTGAGCCAACTTTCCAGCCCCTGTGGTACGTCTTGATGATCGCTGGTTTCTTAAATATGACAAGATGTAGTTTTATTCTAAGTAATGACACTTAGGCTCTGTGGAAATGTTTTGGGGTTACTCTCCTCCTCTTTACTCCCAGAAAACTCAAAACTTATTTTTTAAGGGGGAGGGGGACTCTGTTAACATTTAGTTTAATGACAAGGTTCTAGTGATTTATCATAGTTTAACAACTGCTGGTTTAGCAGAAGGAAAATTCTTGCAGTTTCTTTTCTAGAATTGAAAATGGCTTATAAATACCATCACATTACAGCTGTAAAATAGAATCTAAAGAAAATGTGGCATGCAAGAAAGCACACATGAAGGAAGCTGGAGAGATGGCTCGGGGGTAAAGAGCACTGGCTGCTCTTCCAGAGGTCCCGAGTTCAATTCCCAGCACCCACATGGCAGCTCACAACTGTCTGTAACTCTAGATCTACATGCAGGCAAAACACCAACGCACATAAAAAAATTAAAAATAAAATTTAAAAAGCAAGTACATATTAAGGATTCTCTTCAAAATTAAAAAAATATTTTAGACAGCACCCAAATTATATTCTTCATTTCCTCTTGAGGTAAATTCAAACATCATTTTAAGTCTGCTACTGGTTCCTAAATTCATAATTAGAATATCAGTTCTCAAATATGCTGGCCCAGGGGTCCTCAGAGGAGTCAGTGACTGTCACATCATGACAGCCTCCACCTGCTGGCTGTGTACACACCGGCCAATGGGACCCTCTACTCCTATCACCTGCCTTCAGCACAGTTGCTTTCCAAGCAGGACTTGTAGGTGGAGAAACTTCAGGAAGAGCGGTCTGTGTCGACCTTGAGGCAGAGAGGGCTTGAGGTTACCTATGAGAAAGCTGGGAGGAAAGCAGGGCTCATGAAGTCAGAGAGTAGACAACGGAAAGGCTAGTTCTGGACATCCCTGGGGGCCACTTTGCTGTTTTAAGGACACTGTAAAGTCTCAGAACAGAGGCCTCCTCCATTTTGGGGGTTGGCTCTTTTTTTTGTCAATGGATCCTTCTGCAAAACTTATCTGACTGACCCTTGAGAGATCTCGCTTGGGAAGGATGAGTAATTCCACGGACCTCCCAGGTTTACAGGCAGAGCCAGGACGCCCCCTGCTCTTCTGGCTGCTCGGGTCTTGTGTATGACATTTACGAGACCGATGGGTATAGTAGAAAGATTAATCTGAAAGCTGGGCAGAGGTGGTGGCGGTGTACACCTATAATCCCAGCACTCGGGAGGCAGAGGCAGGTGGATCTCTGAGAGTTCCAGGCCAGCCTGGTCTACAAAGCGAGTCCAGGACAGCCAGAGCTGTTATATGAAGAAACTATCGCAAAAACAAACATGAAAAGCAAGACACTTTTTTTCAATTAGGGCTAGAAAGAAACACGAATGAAAATTATCCTTAAAGGAAGTGGGTGGCACCTCAAACTTTTAACTGTCTTGAGGAAATATACATGATTGTATTTTGTTTATTTATCTTTTAGGCAGGGTCTCACAGTAAATTCAAAATCCTCCTGCCGCAGCCTCCTTCTCAGTGCTGGAATTACAGCTATCCATCTTTATGCCTGGCTTCGTTTTAGTTTTAAGTGTCTAAAGCCAAACCATCAGACCAAAGTTCAACCTATTATCATGCTACCAGGGGGCCCCAAAGACTGCCCAGGGAAAACTCAGTAGGCCCTAGACAGAGGGGCGGTCATAAGACAGAGAGGCAGAGAGGGAACCAGGAAAACTGACACAGGGCAGGCAGGCGGAGAACACGCAACAGGACAAAGTCCCAGGAAGAAACATGCAGGAATGACAAGTAACCGGCCCTTCAGAAGCCTAGGAGGAGTGATTTCTGTTTCATTTGCCACCAGGGTCAACTCTGCCCTCTCTACTTACATGAAGCTGCCTATGCCCATATTTATCCCATTATTCATGATGAGGGACAATTCCTTCCTTTTTGTGACTTAAAAACAACTAAGTGTGATAACTACTCCAAAGCCTTGCACTGCAATCACATGATAAATACAGGCTGCTCTACAGGAAAGGTGAGAAAGGGACGGATTTGTCGGAGGGCTTCCGTGTCTTCCTTGGTGGCTGCCTGAGGCGTCAGGCTGTGTCCTGCTTTCTGGTACAATGGCCTTACAGTGGCTAAGAACAGGAGGAAGTGCGAAGGGTGCAAAGCCTTTTAAAAACTCTGTTCCTCGTTTTTGTCCTTGTGCAGAGAGAGAGAAAAAAAATCACTACTCTTGTATCTTTCAGTTTCATGGTGGTAAAACTGAAAAAGCAAGCCTTGTCCCGACCAGGTTGTCTACAGTCATGCCACACTGACCTCTGGGGAAGGTCTGGGG